TCCCGTGACGAGACGGGGGAGAGCAGCCTTGGGGATGGTAGCCCCTTCATCAATGGCCACGCTGGCTACCACCTGCTCACGCCCTGGCTCCGGCTGAGGGCTCCACCCTGATGCCGGGTTCCTCTCAGCTCCTCCCTCGGTCAGAAGCAGAAGACTGAAATGTCCTCTCCCTGAATCACCTGTCACTTCTAGACTCTGGGCCATCCTGGGCCCCTGTGGCCTTATTTCTCCCCACCCTCCCTCCACGGTGGGAAGGCTCTGGTGCACAGAGGCGCCCTGGGGAGGAATGGGGGAGGTGGCCCACACACCCCGTCATCTTTGGCGGTCTTCGTTTCTGGTACTCCCGCTCGTCCACAGTCCACACGGCGCCCTTGACGTTCTCCACGCGCACGAAGCACTTGTGCAGGCTGAGGTTGTGTCGCACCGCATTCTGGGGGAATGGGGACAGGAAGCAGATGCTCAGAGGGGGCCCCTCCTCCAAGTGGGGGAGCACAGACAGGAGGGTTCTCAGGTCCTACCTGGTCCCACCTTCCCAGGCCTAGTGACAAGCGGCAAGGGGTGGGCAGGAGATGACACAGCCAGAGCAGAGAAGGCCCCTCTCCGCCCCTGGAGCCAGGGGTCCCCGGTACCCCTCGCTGCCACCGGCCCGCTGTATCGTCTGCTCCCCGCCACATTTTAGAAAACTCTGTCTACCAGGTGACTGACACCTCGTTAGCAATAACCCATTTTCCCACCACCATCAGACAGATGCATGCAGCCGTTGGGGCTTCTGAAGAACACGAGATGCCATCCAGGCCCTGGCCCTCAGTGAGCCTGGGACGTTGTAGCTCAGGCACACAAAGAGTCTCTATTAAGCCTCAAAAGTCTTGGGAATAACTCAGAAGCCTCGCTGCAACTTCCTCTGTCCCCTTGGAGCATGGGAGCCTTGACTCTGGGCTGTGGCTGAGACTGTTATTGTTTAGCCGCTCAGTCGTGTGACCCCATGGACTGTTGCCTGCCAGGCTCCTCTGTTCATGGGATTTTCCTGGCAAGAGTACTGGAGTGGGTTGCCATTTCCTTCTCCAGGGGATCTTCCCAACCCAGGGATCGAACATGTGTTCTCCTGCATTGGCAGGTGGATTCTTTACCACTGGGGCACCAGGGAAGCCCTCTGGCTCAGAACACAAAGCTTATTGAGAGCACGAGGTATACAGTAGGGGCCTACTGCATGTTTGTTAACATAAGGAAGCTGGGAAAAAGGCGAGTGTGAGTTTAGTGGCTGTACAGAAGGAAGAGGATGCAAAAGAAGAAAAGTCACCTTGGCGGTCCCACCTCCTCCCAGCAGGATAACTTCAGGAATTGAGGTCATCTGGTTTGTAGGACACTTGGGTGGGGGCAGGGTGCTTGGCCCAAATCGCCCCCTGGGAGCCTGGGCTAGGGCCCTAATCCATCCCCCGCCGCTCGCCACGTCCCTCACTCCTGTCCCCCCATTCTCCTCTTTCAGCTTCACACCCCCAGCCATCCCTGCCCCTGTTACCTGTCCCCCCAGCCTCCCCCCACCTCATCTCCATCCTTGTCTCCTCTTTACATTTCTAAACGGGGAAGAAAGCAGGCTGGGCGGGCAGCCCGTGCCCCTGGAGATCCCCTCTCCCTCTCTCCCTTCCAACTCTTGCCACTTGCAACTGGCCCGATTTCATTACCAATTTTAATTTGCCTCTAATTAAATCCTGTGTATTTTTCCGACTCGCTTGCTAATCCACGAGGGAGGCGGGCGGCTGGAGTGGAATCTCTTGGAGCGATAATTACAAAGGGCCTAATCACGCCGGGGCTCCTGCCTCGGAATAAATTTGCCCGCATTACGGGGCTCCGATCCTCCGCTTTGCAAATGAGAATGACCCCAATTTCCGAGGATGGCCTCACCGGGGCTTTTTTCCCTCATTTCGAAGCCTGATTCGTGATGAGAGACTAATTCGTTACGCTGAAACATTAACGGCAATTTAAGGGGTCTGGCGGGGGCTGCATAAACAAAAGGACCGGCCCACAACACAGGCCCTGGGAGGGGACGGACACAGGGGGAGGGCCAGCAAGGACCGTCAGCTTGGCAGATGGCCGCTCTGTCCCCGGATGAACGGCAGCTGGCCTGGCCCACACTGGCTCCCGACCCTTCTGCCCTGGTCTGAAGCGGACAGCATCCCAGGCTGGGGGGCCTGAGGAAGGAAAGGAGGAGGGAGGAGAGGAAGCTGAAGTAGTTGAAGAGAAGAGGAGGGACCTCACGGAGCAGATGAACGGGTGGAAAGGAAACAGATGAGTCGGGTGTGTACGCAGGGTGCATTTCCCAAGTGACATGAGTGGAAGCTTGGCGGCAAAGACCCTGAAAGTCAGAGTGGACCACAAGCTGAGATGGTTTCTGCTGTGCCACCGGGAGGGCACAGGTGGTGCCCTACACGTGGCAGAAGCAGCAGCAGAGCACAGCTCAATGGGACAGTCACTCACTGAGTGGGCTTCTTGCTGGGACCTAAATGAAGCGAGGGGAGGTGGGGGTGAAGACACCCACGGAGGGAGACACACTGCTGAGACGACCAAGGCTGGGCCACCAGTCAAAGGTGGTTGGTATGAAGGCCCAGGGGCTTGGGCTATGGGAGGGGTGGCTTCCTAATGGTCATCGAGGGGTTTAAGGAAGTCACCTAAACCAGCTCCTCCTGACCTCAAGAGGGATTGTAGAGGTGATATAGTTAAGAGACGACAGGAAAGGAGGGTAGGTGGGTGAGAGGAACTCAGCCCCCAAGGAGGAGGCTGTCTGTAGCAGTGAGGCTCCACACTGATTCCCCTAAAGGTAGAGGATTAATATAGTAAAGCAAATGTTACATAACAACTGTAATGATCCCGACATTTGTATAGGACTCTGTCCTTTATGAAACCTGGTATCCAAACCGGCTTGCAGGTTGGAGACTGAACCAGGTGGCCCCCAGAAGGCCCTGCTGGCTCAGAGAGAGGGCAGGACTGTGGTTGGCAGGAAATGACATCACTCACAGCCAATCAGAGCAGCTGTCCCAGCCTCGCAGCATCTTTGGCAAGCATTGGGAATTGGGCATGCGGATACAGAAGGTCACGAAGCAGTCTCTCCTGCTGAACTTAGCACTCTCAAGGAAGAGAAGGCTGGGCTCTGTACAGACCCCACCTGTCCTGATCACTGGTGGGGAGGGGGTCCCTGTGACACTTGTGGAAACCTGGTGGGCCAGGGGAGGTAGGCTGCTAACTGCACCTTCTGCTCTGGCCAGCAGAGGGACTCAAGAGCCAGGGATCTGATTCAGGTCCTGCGACACCAGGCCCTGGTATCCATCCTTTCCCACAGAGAGCGGACACTTCCTTCTTTCCCCTCAGCCGCTCCCACCCTGCTGCACAGAATTTAATACTTTCACCCATCAGACAGACAGACAGACAGACGCACACCCCCCACGCTGGCTCTAGAAAAATAAACAGCTTAGTGTCTAAGCTCACATCTCTGTGTCCCATTTTTCTAGGATCTGCCCCTTGCCTGTTTCTGGTCCAGCAGGAAAACTCGACAGTTGAAGGTGTTAAAATGACTAATTGGATGAAGACAACTATCTTCCTGCCACTGATGGTGGAATTGGGGAAGAGTATGAGTGTCTGTATTTGTGCTCCATAGTACAGTCCAGGATTTCGGTCTACACACATGTCCAGGCCTGCAATCACCCATCCCCCCCACACCCATTCTAGGCTTCAGAGTGTGCGCTTTGGCAAGGAATCTGGACCTTCAAGGTCTCCTGTGAATGGGACCCAGGCCTCCCCACCAGGTTCGGGCACTACTGACTCCTGGAGGCCCTACTTGAGGGGGCTGGGGTCTTTGGGGCCGGGGGGGCCCTCTAGAGAAGTGGAGGTAGGGGCTTAGGGCCCAGGGCCCAGCCTGGGGCCCGCTGAGTCATTTGTACAGAACTGCCTCTCCAAGGGGCCTGTTAGGCAGCTTTGGTTTCAAAGAGATGTGGAAATGTCCAAGGCTGCCCAGGGCCCTGGTGAGGAGGAAGCGGCATGCCTTACCTTCCAGGTGGCCGTGTTCCTCCGGAAATAGGCAAACATCCTGGTGAACCAGTTATAGATCTCGTTCAGGGTCAGCTGCCTGTCGGGAGTTTCCAGGATGGCCTGTGGACAGGGAAGAAGTCCAGGGACCCTCAGTCTGGGCCTCCAAGGTTCACAGGCCTGTGTGCTCTCCCGAGCTCTCCTCTAGGGCCCTTAACTCATCTGAGGGCAGAAGAGACCCACAGAGGAAGCACGTGGACAAGACTGGGGGTGCTCTCTGGTGCTCTGAGAGGGGCAGGCTGGTTGCAGCCCAACCAGAGGCTACAGGGAACACAAGTCTCAAGGGCCATGCACTTGCTGGAGGAATGCATGAATCTCCGCTGGAGGAAACATGGCTCAAAGGGATCCTGCCTCGACTGGGAAGGAAAGCAGCATTCTTGAAAGTAGTGCAGGCCAGTTGGAATTTATCCTGGTTTTGGCAAAGGGCACCCCAAGAATGAGATGGAGAGTGTGTGTGTGTATGAGAGAGAGAGACAGAGAAAAGAAGACACGCTATGAGTGACCGTAAGTCTATTAGAAAATAGTCTCACGGGAGTAACATGTATGTGGAAAACAGAGAATGGATGACACGGTGGCTATTAGCAGCAAAAAACAGCGAGTGTGCTCTCAGAGGCGGGTCCACCTGACCAGCAGGCTGGGATCAGCTGAGGTCCCATGCGAGAGGCCATTGGCCGAGGAGGAAAACGCGGGAGCGATCGGGACAAGACTCCCGTGATGCTCTCTGCTCCCAGGATCCCCTGGGGGCCGGGACCCTGAGCGAGGAGCGCAGCCAGTGTGCCGCCCCCCACCCACTCCCTCTACCTCCCCACGGCTGGCTCACCTGGCGGATCAGGGAGGCGTAGGTGAAGGGCGGCCGGACGTCGGCGTTCTTGTAGAACTCATGGTTCTGGGCCAGCTCTGGAGGGAGACAGGGNGGGGCCGGGACCCTGAGCGAGGAGCGCAGCCAGTGTGCCGCCCCCCACCCACTCCCTCTACCTCCCCACGGCTGGCTCACCTGGCGGATCAGGGAGGCGTAGGTGAAGGGCGGCCGGACGTCGGCGTTCTTGTAGAACTCATGGTTCTGGGCCAGCTCTGGGGGGAGACAGGGAGAGCCTGAGGAGGTAACCGGAAGCAGGGGCTCCGGCTGTGGCGGAAGACACCCCTCCCTGCGGCGGCCCTTACCTGAGGAGATGGGGGAGCAGAACTTGTCGCTGCTCCTCCGCCGGGCAGGGCCCCCACTGTGCAGCGAGGCTGAGCCCAGGCCGGGGGGCCTCAGCGGGGTGACGGGGGCGGCGGCCGAGGTGGGGGGGTGCGCAAGGCCGTCTGGGAACGAGTCGGCTGCGGAGACGGTCACCTTGAAGAATGAGGAGGAGCTGGGGACTGGGTTCAGCTGTGAGCAACGGGGCAGGGTGCTGAGTCGGGGGGCAGGGGGGTCCCCAGTGAGGGGCGGGGGACGCGCGGTTCTGAGAGAGCCGCAGGGAGGGGAGAGTCACTCACTGGCTGGCTGAAGGGCTTGGGTTCCGAGGGCCGCATGTGCAGATGGGTCATCATGGCCTGCAGCCGCTCGCTCTCCTTGGCGAGCTGTGGAGAGGCGGGCGGTGAGCTAGGGACCTGTGCTAGGGGCAGCCGGGCCCTCTTCCCCTTCCACATCCCAAACCTCCATCCCCAGGACCTCTCATCCCTGGCCCCTGGCATCTCCTTCCATCTCCTGCTCCAGGAAACCCTCCCTGCTCATCCGGACTCTGTGTCCCCGGCCTGGAGCCCAGCACAGCCGCTGCCTGTCGGCGCCCACTTCTCCCCAACAGCACATGCCTTTTCTCCCCCTCAAGGGCAGAGGCTGTGGCTGAAGTTCAGCGGCACTTGTGTGTGTGAGAGTGCCCTCACACACTGAATGGGGATACAGGAATGGATGGATGATTCATTCACCCCTATTCATAAATTCAATGGATCTTTCACAACCATCCTCTCACGCCAAGGTGCTCTGCTGGGTACTGGAAGGCAGTGGGTAAACATTGGTTGGCTGCCTCAGGGACTGTCCCGAGTAGCCTCCGAAGTATTCCAGGCTGCAGAGCGTGGACCCTGGAGCCAGACTGCTCTGGTTCTAATCCCAGCTCTGCTACCCACTGGCTGAGTGACCAGAGGCAAGTTACTGCACCTCTCTGTGCCTCTGTTTTTTATATCTGTAAAGTGGGCATAGCATCTTCCCAGGTGGCGCACTGGTAAAGAATCTGCCTGCCAACACAGCAAACGCAAAGGGACACAGTTTTGATCCTTGAGTCGGGAAGATGCCCTGGGGTAGGAAATGGCTACCCACTCCAGTATTCTTGCCTGGAAAATTCCATGGACCGAGGACCCTGGTAGCCTACAGTCCATGGAGTTACAGAGAGTCGGCCACGACTGCGCACACACGAGGCAGGCATAATAATAGTACCCTCCATATAAGGTCATTCAGAGGATTCCTTGAGTCACCTAGGTGTTTAGCATAGCACAAACAGGTGCTCAATATGTTAGCTATTCCTGTTTATTTTTGTTGTTTTTATTAGTATGTGTCTCTTTGGGACCTCCCAGCAGAGTGGCCCCCAACCCTGGTTTTCCCCCTCAGAATCCAGCTGTGTTCACAGACCTCTAGAGCATAAGATGACCCTTCCAGGAGCCTCCCGCACCCTGCCCCCACAGCCTGGGGCCACACCTGGATCTCCAGCTGCTGCACCACCTGCATCTGCACACGGCACTGGGCCGTGCTCCGGTCGTCCAGGGCGTGCTCCGTGTTGAGGTGTCTTCCCGGGGGAGGAGGGGGCGGACGAGAGAAAGTTGGCCCTGGTCGTCCTGCTGTCACCACCCTCCCCTCCCCTCCTCTAATCCCGCCCACGGCCTGGAGAGCAGACAGACCATGACATACAAAGAAGGGAACCAGACAAAAAAAACGGGCAAAAAAAAAAAACAAAAAACAGGGCCACGGAGGAAGCCGCCTTCTCGTCAGCCTCCTTTGATGTCTTTGCTAAAATCCCAGCTACAGAGAGATCTAATTGCAAATGAACTAATTAAGTAAACCTCTGACGAAGCGTGAAAACAATTTGTTTGACCCTGATGCAGCAAGGGTCTGGGAGACAGCGGAGTTAATCAGTCAGTGACAGAGCCTGGCACGGCTGTGGCAGCTGGCCGCCTGCTGCCAGCCGCCTGTCCGCCAGGCCCAGAAGCCGTCTCTAGGCCGTCACTCGCCGGGCTGGGCCTGGGGGAAGCTAGGGAGGGCGGTGGGAGAAGGTCTCTCCTCCTTACACCCCCACCCTGCTGGGCTTCAGCTGCCTGGGGACTGGGGACTGGGGACAGGGGACAGGGTGGGAAGGCTGCTAGACCAGGAACACAAATTGTGGGGGGGCCAGGTAGGAGCGATGAGGGAATTGATGGTGCAGAGAAGGAACGAGTGCCCCCCTGGGGTGAGGTCGCAGGACACTTGGGCAAGTTGGGTGGCAGGCTGGGGGACAAAGGAGCGGGGTGGTGACACCTACTTGATAAACTGGCCCAGGTCTTCACACAGGGTCTCACAGCCTGGCCACTTGCACTCTCCATGTCCGTACAGGGGGTGGGAGCCAGGCGTCTCCTCGTGGGAGGAGCTGTGAGGACAGGAGGGAGACGGGGGTCAGCGACCCGGAACACCCCAGCAGCCTGGGTTCTGCGCAGCCCCAGCTCCCCTACAGATAAGGTTTCAGTCCCTAATACAGGTTCCCCAGAGGCCGAGCACAGTTTTGTGTGCCCCGGGGAGAAGTAAACCCCCCAGCCCCCACTATGCCGGCCCTCAGGGTCAAGGCCAGCCCCCGGGCAGGTGTGCAGTGCCTCCTCCTGGCCCGAGCTCCATACCTGTCTCTCCGAGGTGTGAGCACAGTGGGCTGTCCGTTGGGCAGGGTGTGGTGGGAGAGGGGGGGTGAGACTTTGGGGGGGGCGGCGAACGAGGTAGCGGTGGTGGCCGTGCCGGTGAGGTCCAGCCCCTCCTGCTTGACGCTGTCCTCGGCAGGCTGCCCGGGGGCACCCTCGCCCTTCCACAGCTGGGGCAGGTCCGTGGGGCACACAGCTGCTGCGGGGCGGAGAGGGGAGGCTGGTGGGGTCCCAGGAACACAGGCGGCCCCCTGCTGCAGCTCGCTCCTGGACGCCCTTGGGGGCAAGCGAGGGCGGTGGGGCTGGGGCTGGGTGGGGGCTGGGCACTCACCTTGTGGGATGGTCTGCAGGGGCCCCGAGGCTTGGCTGGGCTGCAGGCTGACCAGCCCCTGTCTCTGCAGGTTGAGCAGGTGCTGCTGCTGCAACTGTTGCATCTGCAGAAGCTGCTGCTGGAAGGCCAGCTGCTTGTTCCCCAGGGCCTGGTGGGGGGCCCGCGGGGGCGGGCAGAGAGGAGTCCCCTCAGCCTCCGGCGTGCCATCTGGCCCCCACCCTGCAGCCACCCCCTCCCAGGGCCTGTCGGCTCCTGGAGCTGTCGTGGTGGCGTCCGCCGCTGCAGCTTCCCTGCTCCCGGCCCAGCTTCCATAGGGCTGCATGCTGCCTCGCGGTAAACACGCCTGCACGCACGCACGCAGGCGCGCAAACACACACACACACACACACAGCCAGACCCAGACACGCAGCACGACGCCCTCCTTGCTCCCGCCTCCCTCCTTCCGCGGCTTCAGCTCCCGCACCACAGCTGTGCTCGCCTTGGGGGGGCGGGGGGCTCTCATCACAATGATGGATGAGCCTGTCAGACTCGGGGGGCCACTCCCGCTTGGCGGGCACCCTTCCCACATGCCCGGGGTGCCCCCCTTCTGCTCTGAGGAGGGGGCCTTCTCCCCTCCAGCTCCTCTCCTCTCTTGCTTCTTAGATACAGAGAATCCAGGAGTCTGATGGGACTTTTAACAGATCAGCATCGACAGGTCACCAGACAGGGGAACAGACACATCGCTGCTGCCCAGGTGCCTGCCGCCTGCCTGCACTTGCTCGTTCTGCTCTTGCTGGCTCTCTCTCCCCTGCCCTGGCCCTTGATCTCCCTACCCGCCCCCCACCCCCTACCTCCCTAGATTCAGTACTTCACACAAGCATTGGCGAGTCAGTCTGTCAGTAAGTCTGTTCTAAAGCCCCAGGAGCCAAGCAAGTCCTGGGTGCTTAGGAGGCAGGGATTAGGAGACAGGGATGGCTTGGAGGTGGGAGATTGAGGAGAGTGGCTTCTCAGTAAACCCACCCTAGAGACAATGCAGAGAATGTAACAAACACAACACCTCCGCCAGGGAGGCTGAGGCTAGGAGGGAATGACTGGGCGACAGCAAGGCAGCTTCTGGGAAGAGGCAACTCAGAACATGGCTGTGTGACACTAGGCAGCCTGTCCTGAATGAGGACACTCACACATCGACACGCGCGTGCTCAGATAACCCAGGGCTCGGCGCTTCTGCTCTCCTCATCCCACAACACGAGGCGAGGAGATGAGGACTGAACGGGGTTGAGGGGAGATGGAAGAATGTGCCTCCACCCCCCACCCCCTCCCCAACCTCTCCTGATTTTTCTGCTGTTCCCACAAAGCAATTCTCTCCTGACCACTCCGGCCAGGATGGGGTTGAAGTGGCGAGTGAAGGGCAGGCGTCCTTTGAAGGGCACGTCCCACCCTGTCCAAGCCCCTCACCTCTTTGGGTTGCTGCTTCCCGGCCTGCTGTTGGGTGAGGAGTTGTAGGTGGAGCTGCTCTTGCTGCTTCTTGTAATATTCCTGCAGCTGGGGGCGGGCAGCAGGGCGGAAGGGGGTTAGCGCTGGCCGGACTGCTGACCCCAAGGCAGCACCAGCCTTGTGACTGGGCTGCTGAGAGACAGATGGCCCAGCAGGGAGGGCTGCTCTGCCCTTCCCAGTCTGTGTGGAGAGAGGTTCCCTGAGAGCCAGGACCGAGAGGGGCTAGGGGAGCTTCCCCCGCACTCTGTGCCCTCCCTCTCCCCTAGTAGGTCAGGAAAAGGTGGGGGATGTTCTCTGTCCCTCCCTTGGGGTTTGGAAATACAGGTGGGGCCAGCAGGCTGTGAGGGTAAAGGGGGTGAGGGGTCTGCTGTGGGAGAGGCCTGACCTCTGACCTCTCCCCAGCTGTCCTGGAGGAAGGCAGGTCAGTTTGGCCTGAGCAGTCTCTCTGGTTTCCGCCACTGCTGTGGCCCTTGATGATGGTAGTAAACAGGGTGGGAGTGGGGAGGCTGGAACACCCCGTTCTCCCCTCCCTGCCCTTCCCTTGGCCTTAGGGGCAGACTCACCTGCTGGATCATGAGCGCTTGCTGCTGCTGGAGCAAGGCCTGCAGCTGGGGGGGCGACAGGATCTGCTGCATCTGCTGGGGGGTAAGCATCTGGGGCGACATCATGGCCACGGACACAGGCACCTGCGGGATGGGTAGGGTCAGATCGCTCACCTCCTCCCCGGCCCCACGGAGGCCCCACCCAGGGCCCCGCCCCCAGCAGGGCAGCCTGGCTGCGGAGTGAGCAGCCTTGGGTTCACATTCTGGCTCTGCCACCTGCTAGCTGTGCATCTCCAGACGAGTGACTCACCTCCTTCATTCTTGGTTTTCTTTCTTCTTAAAACAAACATTTTTTGGCCATAGAACCTGTGGGATCTTAGTTCCCCAACCAAGGACAGAACACGTGCCTCCGGCAGTGGAACTGCGGAGTCTCATTCACTGAACCACCAGGGAAGTCCCTGTTCTTGGTTTTCTTGTCTCTGAAATGGAAGCAGCAACCCTGCCTGCCTCTTAAGGTCATCACGGGGGCTAAGGACCTAATACTTAGAACCTTAGAGCCTGCAGATGTGCTGTGCTTAGTCATTTAGTCAGGTCCGACTCTTTGCGACCTCATGGACTGTAACCTGCCAGGCTCCTCTGTCCATGGGGATTCTCCAAGCAAGAATACTGGAGTGGGTTGCCATGCCGCTCCTCCAGGGGATCTTCCCAACCCAGGGATCGAACCCAGGTCTCCCGCATTGCAGGTGAATTCTTTACCACCTGAGCCACCACCAGGGAAGCTCTTATATGCAGTTCCTGGTGTGGGAAGATCAGAACCTCGTGACACTGGTCAGTAGAACCCATGCTTTGCAGGATTCCCACCACCACCACCACTGAGTGACGGGGAGGGGCAGGATGTAGCCATTGCCAACTCCTACTCAGTGTGTTCTGACAACAGACCCACAAGGGAGGCCTGGCCAGGAGGGCAGCCTGCAGCCACAGGAGGGCTTCAAAATGCCCACATGGTGCCAGGACCTAGACTTTGGCCCAGCTCACATCCATGTCATGTACTCCATCCAGCCCACCTGCCTAGACGGCACATGCAGTGGCCTGGGGCTGATGCCCAGGGAGCACGGTAGTGCCATCCCGGGTGAGTGCATAGGTGGAAGCACCTAACAAGGTCCAAGTGGGGTGGAAATACCAGGCAGGGGCATGGGGAGGCAGGCCACTGCTCCTTGCTCTGCACTGAACTTGCCATGTGACCTCTTGGCAAGTCACTGGCCGTCTCCAGAATCTACCATAAAACAGGGATCGGACTGTGAGAGGTGCCTCCATCCTGCTGGAACATGCAGGGTTCTCAAAATAGGGCAGCTTTCTGTCCCCCGCCCTGGGTGAGGCCTTTCTAGGAGGCCCAGAGAATCCAGCTCTGGGCAGAAGGTTCAGGGAAAAGCAGTACCATTATTCTTTCTCCTAGTTCCCACCTCCCCCGAAATCCCCAAGCTGGGCGTTCATAGCCAGGGTAGTCCAAGTGGCAACACTGTCTTGTCGCCCTGCTTTAGCAGGAAAGGTGTCCTGACCAGCCCATCGGTCACCCCTCATCAGTCTTCAAGGCCTATGTGGTCAAGACTCTGATCTCCCGCCTCACTCCCTAGCCCCAGCACAGCCCCAGCAGAGCTGGCACACCACAGGTACTCCTGTAAGTTTATGCTTCCCCGAGCTGAGTTACCTTCCCCTGCAGATCAACTTTGGGGCGGGGAGGGAGGGGTGCCAGCAGCCCAGTCCAGGAGGAGCATCCTGCAGAGACTTGTCCTGGTCAGGACAGGACAGGTTATGTCCCCAGGGGACTCCTGGGCCCTTTTACCTTTCCCCAGCCTCATGAGTACGGCAGAAGAGGAGGTGGTTCCACTCAGGATCCCTGGCAGGGGCCGGGCCCGGCCTGAAGCCACCAGTGAGGGTATCCCCAGGCAGAGGGGGGACGTGCAGGGCAATGAGGGACACCAGTAAGTCTCACTGCCCCCACCCCATAGGCAGTGGCCGAGCCGCAGCCCTGGGCTCCCCTCCTCTACCCCAGCCATCTCCATGCAAACATCCCTGGAAGGGGCACCTTGCTTTTTAGCCACAGTCACACCGGGTGAATGAAGGCGCCCCAAGCACAGGGTTGGAATTCATGCCCAGGTCTGTGCACTCCACAGTTCCCGCTGTGCCCAGGTCCCGCACTGCCTGTCCCACCCGAGCAGCTCTTGAGAAGGGCTGGGAGAGTGAGTGGAAATGGAACCATCCAGGGAGCTGAAGGGGTCAGAGGTTGGAGATTCCAAAGCCCAACATCCCTCTTTATATCTGTCACTGGGTAAGACAGGGAAAAATCAGACTGCAGGGCTGTTCTGGTCCCCACCCCTGGAGGGGCCTGCTGTCGGGGGCAGACCACGGCACACACCCACCCCGCCTTGCAGAGCCAGCCTGTATCCTTTGCTGGGTGCCCCCAACAAGGTAGTGATGAGCTCAGAGTCATGGATTTCTGAGTCAGGTGACCCAGGTTCTTGTCCCTGACACCAACTGTCCTTTGAAATCCCTTAGGCTTCCCTTTCTGCATCCGCTAACTGGCAGGCCTGCCATCCCTGCTTCACAGGACTTCTCAAGAAGAAGCTGTTGGCAACTGATAATGTACCAGGCTAAGCCCTGTATGTGCACCATCTCCCTGAATTTTCACAGCCATCCTGGGAAGACGGCACCATCATGGTCATCATTTTATAGATGAGAAAACTGAGGCCTAGAGGGACAATAGGAAAAGGGGTAAGTGGAAGTTATTTGTGTGTCACAAAACTCTACACAAACGTAAAGACAATTACTTTTGAAAAACCCTCTGGATTTTCCATTTTCCCTCTGTCCCCCCACTCCTCCACGAGTGTGCCCCAGCACTTGGGCCCCAGGGGCATTACATGGTAAGGGTCACTTGAGACCGAAGTTCTGGCCCTCCCATGCTCGTGGCTATGGGGACTGACCTAGTGCAGATGGCCAGGGCTCCGGCCAGGAACAGTGAGCCCAGACACCCGGGAGGTCTTTCCAGGCACCAGGGCTGTGAGTCACTGCAAGTGGCCTGCAGGAAAGGATGCGGCATTTCCTTCCTTGGGGCTTTCCTACTTGGAGGCAGGGGAATGGAAGAGATGACCTTGGAAGGCCTCCCCAGCCTCTGCTGTTCCTGCCAACTGGCCGAGCAGCTGGCCGGAGAGGTGGCTACAGCAATCTGGAAGGATTACCTTGTGTGTACTCGTCTCCAAGGTGGCCCAGCAGGGTCAGGAAAGGTCAGTGAAGTGGCTGCTGCCTGCCGATCTCCCAGACGGCCTGAACCCATCCCTCCCCTTCCCGCCCCCTGGGGGTTCTGAGGACTGAGCTGGAGCCCCCCTGGTGTCCCTAGTGACCCCCCCTCACCAGGCTGGGATGTGTCAGGATGGGCACCGTCAGCGAGTCAGCTCGGCGAGGCCCGTGAGTCACCATCTGGAGGGCGGCCAGGGCAGCTAAACGCTTACAAAAGCCCTGGCAGTGTGAGCCCCGGGCAAAATGCCGCCAGCTGCCTCCAGCCCCTCCTTCAGCGACCCTGCTCAGGCTCGGAGCCCTCCAACCACCATGCATACAGTATGCTGGGCTGGGAGAAGCAGAGATGGCACCTGGCATGGAAGCAGCTCCTTTGGAGGCTGAAATGGACACAAGTTGGTGCAAGAATCAAGGACCCAAACTCAACCTCTTTTAAATGGGTGAGTGGGGAGACTAGGCCAAGGTTGCAAATAACCCTTGAGAATAACCAGAAAGTAGTCCTCAGTCCTGGCTGGCGCTGCAGCAAGAAAGATCATGGTGAGACACCAAGAACTTCAAGGAATGGCAAGGGGGCTGAGAAGATGAGACAGAGGCTGGCTTAACTAAGGGGATGCCCCAACCACCCTCTGAACAAACTCCTAGCTACCTGTACTGCCTTTTGTGAGTGATTCTCCCTGCCTGGGGCCCAGGCCCAAACCAGACAATCTCCAGGCTGGAGCTGGAGACCTAACCTGGCTTTAGAAATTCTTGTGAAGCTGGCTTTCAGA